GGGATAAACAGGTGAGGCAGACACTCTACAAACCTCCCCCGCCCCCCTCCAGGAAGCATCCAGACACCCTCCTGGCCTGGTGTGCCATTCAACGTATCCCTCCTGCTGCATTCACACTTCTGTGCTTTGTGCAAAGCGTGCCACGGCCACGTGGGCTATTTTCAGCTGCTTTAGGGACCCTGTGTTCAGCCACATGACACCCACAGAATCCGTGGTCAGGTATCTAAGCTGGACCTGTAAAGCTGTCATGTGGTAGAGACCGTGTGAAGGAAGTAGATGGCCATGCACAAGGCAAGGAGAAGCCTTAGAAGAAACCAACCCCACCCTGATCTTGAACTTCCAGCCTCCCGAACGGTGAGACCATAAATCCCTGTCATTAAGCCACCCACTCTGTGGCATGTTGTTCTGGCGGCGCCACCAAACTACCATAGGGGGACTGCACGCAGGTCGACCCTCCACAAGGGGGCAGCCCAAGACCCGCAGGGGCTGAAATCCAGCCCCTTTTCCCAGTTTGCACAAAGGCACTGTTTGTAAAATAGCCCCGGGAGTATGTAAAATATAAAATTCATGGCCTGACTTGAGAGCAGTTGTCCCAGGCTGCACCCAGTCCAGTGCTGCCTGATGAGTGAATTTAAACTGACAGAAGAGCCCAGCAGTGGTGCCCAGGGCTTTCCGTGGGGTGTAGCTAACAGTGCCTTTCATAACGCTGTCACTGAAACTATCACCAAGAATACTGATAAAGCAATTGGAAAATAACATACAACTGACTCTCATTATTTGCAGATTCTGTATTTGCAAATCCCCCCCATAGTCAAAATGCATTTGTAGCCTCAAAGTCAACACCCACAATACTTTTGCGGTCATTTGTGGACGCACACACAGAATGGTGAAGACTTTGACATGCCCAATAGGCACATTCCCAGCCGAGACCCAACAAGGCAATGCTCTGACTCCTTGTTTCGGCTTTCGTACCATAAATGAGTATTCTTGCCACAGTCTATTTAGTGTCACACGTTTTATATTCTTGTACTTTTTCTTGGTGGCTTCACTGTTTAGAATGGCCCTAAGCATAGTGCTGAAGTGCTGTCTGGTGTTCCTAAGGGCAGGAAGGCTATGTATGAAGGTGCCTTCAGTAGAATATACATAGGAGATGAGTTTTATTCGGGCATGAGTGACAGTGCCATTGGCCAGTTCAATGTTAATGGGTCAACAGCATATATTAAATAAGGTGTCTTTCAACAGAAACACACATAAACAAGGTTATGGACTGATCGATTGACAAAAATGTTGTGACCAGAAGCTCTCGAGAGCCTCACCCTGTGCTTTCCCTAGGAGCAATGGTTCAGTATTGCTACTTTACTATCTGCGGTGACTTTATAGGACGTCAGACTCCCACAAATAATGAGAATCGACTGCACATCAATTGAGAGAGTGAATCATCCACTGTCAGCGACCAGTAATACAACAATCTTAAACAGTTGCAAAAGTATCTACCAAGGCACATAGTCTCGTGCCATAGGAGAATATAGGTGGGGGGGGGGACTTGAATTGGGTTGTGCAGAAAATAGCTTGCTTCACAAGTGACTTGCCTCTGGTTTTGCTGATTGTGGCAAAGCCTCTATTGAGAGGTGCCCCAAGAAGGGATGGAGAAGCCACAGCACTAGCCATGTGTCACCCAGTCCCACCTGTATCCTGGAAGCCACCACCCTCCAAATGTAAGCTCTCAATAGTGGGTCTCGCCTCCCCCTGCATCTCTGGGATGACCTGTCTCTTACCTCAGAGACTGCGCCTGGCCCCTCCTCCCCTGCATCTCAGGGGTGGCTGGGGCACTGGTGCGGCCCTGCCGCTGGCCAGGAACGCTGCGGATGGGAACCACATGGTAGGAGGCAGGCTCCAGCAGCCATAGGCTGGAGGCACCGGGTCCGTCCTGTGGCGTGGTGGCTGGGCTGCTGCAAAAGAATTAGGGACAGGTCAGTGGCAAGAATGCCTCCATTCAGGGCCTCAAGCTGTGCAGAGGAAGGGGGCACAGTGGAAGGGGGCCCCAAAACTCACATCTCTCACCATCACACAGTTAAGGAGAGGGGCAGTCTCCCACGCCTTGCCCTGCCTGTACCCCCCTGGCCAAGCACAGCTCCCACCCACTTCCAGCCCTCCCCTTCCTCCCCGTCCTGACCTGGACTCGCTGTTGGGTTCAGAAGATTTTCTGGGCTTCTCATAGGGGTGGTCCAGGCTGGTCTCCTTCCAGGGACTGTTCTGGATGGGGGCCCGCTCCAGGCCCCCAGTCTCAGGTCCTGCTGGCTTCAGCCCCTCCAGGCTCTGGGGTGGGAGAGGCCGGGAAGGTGGAGCTGGGGACTCTGGGGGAGGTTTTGGCACTTGGGATTCCTCTGCGGGGAGTGAAAAGAAACCTGGTGAAGGCAGTAGCTAGGAAATCGGCCCAACAAGAACCTCCGTGGCCCACGCCTTGCTCTCCCTCCCACCGCTGCTTATCTGGCTGTTCCAGGCTGTGGCTCCAGGCCCAGATGCTCAAAAATGTTTTGTTCTCCTTTGGGACTTCCTCACCCATAGCTCTATTTTACACCTGCCTCCTTCAAGAAACCTCCCCAGATTGACTGCCTTTAGTTCACATCATTCCACCTTCTAACCTTTGCTCCTAGTATTATATCTGCAGCTACCTTTCCGCTTACCTAATTTTCTTGTTCATGCTGTGCCCAGGTGCACTATTTCCTTATTGACCTGGACACTCCCCTACATAGGACTGCGCTACCCTCTTGGTCCACCTTGACCCCCAGCATCCTTAAGGTTTATAAACAGGGTTCTTAATCGATGGACAGTGTTTCCTTCCCCAGTGCCATCCTCTATTCAAAGAGGGCAAGGATTGTGGCCAGATGGCTCTTAGGGTCCCAGGGCAAAGGCAGGGACCCCAGAGCCCATAGGCTCTGCTAGAATTCACCTTTTCCTTCCCTGTCAAAATGATTGAACTTCTAGAATGGCAAAGGGTCAGCACATCCCCACCCTCAAATGAACGTGTGCAAGGGCACATAGAAATTAGCATCAAGTAGGAGCAGAGACCTGGAGCCCAGCCCGGCACTCCTGCCTTCACTAGTTCAGTAAATCTCCACTCCCCATTTGAAGTCCTTAGCAGTGAAGTCTGCCAAAGCCCCACTGTCTTCTGTTATGAGCCCAATCCTGACAATAGGCCCTAAACTACCCCTCTCACCTTCCTCCAGGAGCAGCCCATCTGATAGAGAGCTGTCATCTGAGGCACTGAGCTCTGGAAAAGTCAAAGAGGAGAGAAAGAGGTGAGGAAATCAACTCCTAGATCTGGCTTATCCGGCAGTATTGACCCCACCCCCTTCCCGATAGCATCCCGTATCAGGAAATACCAACTGTGTACTAAATACTATGTGAGATATGAATTTACTACTGGAAGTGGAAAAAAAAATCAGAAGCTAGGAGGACACGGGAAGCCTGATTTCAATCCTAGCTCTTCTATTAGCTACACAACCTTGAATAAGCCATTTCAATGCTCTAGGCCTCAGTCTCCCTGTCTGTAAGAAAAAAAAAAAAAAAAAAAAAAAAAAAAGCCAGGGCTTTTTCTGACAGGGTTTCTCAGCAATGGAAGGGAAAGGCGAAGTGTCATTCTGGAAGGCCTTTGGGATGGAAATAATTTGCCTAACGTTTCTATAGTCTTCTGAGATCATGAATACAACTCAACTCAAAGACCCCAAATCTGAGAAGCCCTGCATTACCAGTACCAAGGGCAGCGCAAAGTGGCAGTTTGAGTTGTGGAGTTGTGGGATCAATTCACAGCGATCTGATTCTTCAATTGGTGATATGGCAAGTCGCTTGCATGAAATGGGAGTGTGACATTTCTGCATGGCACAACAGCAGCTGTGACCCAGGAAATCAGAGGGAACTTACATTTGCCATTGCCCTTGAACAAACTGAAACATTTAGACCCTGAGAATACTCTACTGACCTGGATGGAATTCACAAAGTATTTTCAACTATGTTTGATAACAATGATGAGGGGAAATGAACAATAGCCAATACTTCTGTTGTACCAGTCAGTAGTTTTCTAAGTACTTTATGTATATTAATTTATGTCATCATAACCACCGTGTAAGGTAAACACTATTATCATCGTGTAACAGCTAAGAAAACCAAAGCTTGCAGGAACTGAGTAACATGGCTTAGGCCAATCCACCAAAAGGTGATTGAGTCAGAATTCATACCCAGACAGTCTGACCAGAGTCTGGCTTGTCACCGCTACCTACCATTTATGGGTTCTCCTGTTAGCTAGCATCTAATGCACAAGTCATTATCTAGAAAGTTCTAAGACAGTTAAACAATTCCAGGCATCTTAAAATCCTTTGTACCACGACTGGTAAACTATGGGCCCTTGGGCCGAATACAGTTAACTCACTGTTTTTATAAATAAAGTTTTATCGAAACACAGCTACAGATTTATTTACATAAGGTCTGGCTGCTTTTGCACCACAATGGCAGAGTTGAGTAGTTGCGACAGAGACCTTATAGCCCATGAGGCCTAAAATATTTACTGAGCCTCTACAGAAGTTTGTCAACCTTTGCTCCACAACTTAAATGAATTAAAAAACTCTACCCAGAGTAGTTCTTAAACCATGTAGGGCATACTGCCCAAGGAGCTGGGCGACTCCCAAGTAGCCAGCTAGGCCATGCTGTGCTTGGCTCGTACTAGCCTTTGCTTTGGGGTTCAAGTGAGGCTACACCCTTTTACTGAATTCTGGTTCTCTGCCTCTGATCTTTTACAAAACCTCGGAGAATAAAGAGTGTTCTTTTTTACAGATCTGTCAAGTTGAAGAATTTGTGGGACTGTTACTATCATGGTCCTGTGATGCAGCTGGGGTTAGTGTCATGTGTTTTGGTTTGACTCTATGATCTGGGAAGAAAGACATCATCTCCCATCATCCCTAATCTTCATAAAAACAAGCATGTCAGAGACTCATTGGCCAAACAAATGCAATGCAAAGAGGGTGATCTGGAGACCCGCTGCTTTTGTAGAGTTAAGACATGGAGGGAGCACATCTATCTGCCAGCCAAACACAGCCGTTCCCGAGGGCCGCTCACTGTCTCAGCCACACTGCCCCAACCCAGCCCCGGATCAACCTCACCCTGCCCTCAGTCCAGCACTGGCAGCTGGACCCCCCAGGTGAGGAGGTAACTACAGAGGTCACACCCACCAACTCTGCACATTCTCAAAGGCCGCACTGTTCAACGGGTCGCCACTAGCTGCATGGGGGTTATGTTAATTAAAATGAAATAAAATTAAAAATTCAGTTCCTCGGTCAAACCAGGCACATTTCATATGCTCTAGCGGCTACTATAGACAGCACAGATATGGAACATTTCCATCACTGCAGAAATTCCAATAGATAGCATTGCTAAAGGAAGGTATTGTCAGTCCACAAACGCATTCCGAGCACCTACTAAAATTAGAGGTGTGTGTCATGGGGGCGTGGGGGGATTTCTCATCAAATTCACTGTGGTGAATTAGTTTAACACCTGACTGCTCCCTGCCACCTGCAAGGTACTAGCTAATTACCCCCACTTGGCATAATTAGTAATTATCCTAAATTGAATAAGCCTTGTGTGGAGACCAAGGGGGCAGGGTGGCTTTTCCTTTCCTTTTTTTTTTTTTCTGTTTGCTTTTTTTTTCCTTTTTAATTCAAAACACCTCTCAGCTACTAACTAATTATTAATCCCTTTCTACTTCCTCCTTCTGGGGAAAGCACAGCTGGGCAGAGGAGCCAGAGAAGGAATCACTGGTCTAGAGCTGCTTCCTCCTGCGCTCCCAAGGCAGGACATTAGAACCCAGGACCTCAGGCCCACCGGCAAGACAGGGTTTGAAGGTGGAGGGTGCAGCGTCTTTTTCTCTGATCTGGAGGGTGAAAGGCGGCCGCTACCCCAGGTTTCTTCTCTACAGCTGAGTGCACCGAGGTTTCAGAACCGCCTGTCTCCCATGAAGGTTAACCAAAGCCCCAGGCACGTCCTGACCCGCTCATACCCCCAACGAGAAGCATCACTGGTCACAATGGCAGCAGCAGTGTGATATCCCCTCACACCCTCTGCCACCCCAACATCTGCAGGCTGCTGAGCAGTACGGGGCTGGAGAAGACACAGGAGGGGCTGAGGCAAACTGGGACAGGGGCACTTCTCACTCCGCCGCCGGCTCCCTACCAGCACAGCGCAGGTAAGCCCCTCAGGGACTTCCACAAGCCAAGTCAGTGGCTGCCTTTCAAGGGGGGGGCTCAAGTCCTGGGGATCCTGTCGGAGTGGAGGGAGGATGGAGAACTTCTTTTCCATCTGAGCCTGGGAGACCACGAGCATTATCTTGCAGCCAGGCCAGAGACAGTCGACCCAGAGAAGTCTGGCCATCTGAGCCTGGGTCAGGTGCACGGTCTCCTGGGTTTACTGGGTCAACTGTCACACGGAGGTACCTCCTCCCTCATTCTCTGCTTCTGCTGGAGGTGACCTGGGAGGTGTCTGGTCACACCCTTTCTCACCTACATCAGAGACAACGTGAGGCAGCGGGGACTCTGGAGACCTGTACTAGGAGCATCCCCTTGCCCACAGCATGGGCCACAGGGCACGGGGGGTTCTAAATACGAGCGTCCCCAACCAGAAGAGGAGAGCAGCCTCTGTGAAAAGCAAACCCAAGGTGCAGGGGTAGGAGCCGGAGGGTGTGGGAGAAGTAAACAATTCCCCAAGCCCAGACCAAGGCCTTGGTCTCCAGTTCCAAGGATGGCCCCAGGCCACCCCTCCCTTCTTCACCCCAGGTCCCTCCCCTACAACTGGGCCCCATGAGAGGCCAGGGGTTGAGGCAAGCGACGGGCATGATGCCATGAGAAGTAGAAGGTAGGGCTGCGAGTGGACTTGACAAGCTGGGTTTGCATCAGGAGAGGGCAAAGCCAACACAACTGAGGGCTCAGAACCACTTGTTGGAAGGTAACCCGGGCTGGGTGCACCGGTGTCCAATAATGGCAGGTCCTGGGCAGGGACGACTTTCTAGGTGCCCCACAGCCCCAGGTCTCTGGGCCACAGGGCTCAGGGACTAGACTAGAGGCACAGTAAGAGCAAAGAGCAGAAGTGGAGGGATTCCGCTTGACCAGGGTGGTTCTAGATGCTTAAGGGATGGTGGGGTGTGGCACTGGTGGTGCTGGATTTCAACCTAAACATCCCACGAGTAGCCCTGGGTCCCTGAGCAGCCTCGCTCAGGCCGGGGGACAGTACGTCAGCTCAGAGCCTCAGACTCACGTCAGCCTCACGCTTCCTGACCATATAAGCCAGCCCCTGGGGCCTGGAGGGCAGGAGGGTGGACCTGGCTACCGCAGCTGCATAGACCCTGGGAAGAAGCTCGAAGTCAGCCTGGGGAGCACCTTTCTGCCTAGAAGGCCTTCTTGAGGGCAGTGGGTTTTGAGACGGACGTGGAAGGAATGGGACGCTTCCTAAGGAGATTGGGGGAGAGGGCCTCATGGGATGGAGAAGCCCTGGGCCACAGCTTGTTGGGGTTGCAGAGGGTCAGGATGGGGTAGAGGTGAACCGAGGAAGCAGGTTTCCCAGCTAAAGCCAATCTGGACTATTAAACACAGTGCTGGGCACGAAGGCGAATGCAGTGGCCCCGGGGCCATGCCACCTAAGCTCACACGAGGCCCGCGTGGCCCGGGACGGGACTCTCAGGGCGACCGGCTCACCTCGGCCCAGGGGCAGGGCAGCGGCAGGAGGGGGCCCGCTGGTGCGCCGCTGCTCGCCCAGGCAGCGCTCCAGCTCCCTCAGCTTCTTCTCCTCCTGCAGCATGGCATGCTTCCGCTGCCGGCGGGCCTGCCTGCTGAGGTTCCCCTCCCGGCACAGGCGGCGGGCCGCTTCGGCGATCTGCAGCTGCAGGGCTAGCTCCCGCTCCAGGCCGCTCAGTGGGTCCTGAGGAGTGGGAGAGGCAGGGGGCTCAGTGGCCGTGGGGACCCAGGGAAGGGCCCCGACGGACCCCCAGCCCGGGAAGCAGACGGCAGCACGGGCGGCCCTGGGGCCCTGGGGCGGAAGGTGGAGGGGTGGGAGATGCCCGAGAGCAAACCTGTGGGCCCGAAAAGCCGGCACGGGGACCCACCCGCCAACCTGCCCACTGAGCCGGGCAGAGCGGTCACCAACGTGGGCCACTCTCCCTCCTGACCCCAAGGGCCAGGCAGGCGAGCCCAGGGGACACTTGCCACCTTTCGCACCACGGGGAAGGGATCCCGGGGCCCGAGCCGCCCCCTCACCACCTGACTTCCCCCACTGAGAAAGAGGACAGCCCTAGGGGCCAGAATAACCTGTTTAAATGGGCCATTGCCTCCCTGGGCTGGTGGTTGAGCTCTTAACTGATCTTCTGCCTACTGGCCCAGACAAACCCAGGGTCCTCTCGTGAGTCCCCAGCTCTTGCACACCTTCCCCATGGCCACTGGGCTACATGTGAGTGGGTACCCCTCATCGACACGGAGCCGAGCACCCTGACTGGGTGTGATGGCGGGGGGCGGGGGGTGGTGGAGATTGCCAAAAACCAGGAGAGGGCCCTGTGCCTCAGAAGCTACCCCTCCAGACAGTGAGGCCTTGGCTCAGGGATCAACATTTGGTGGGGGGGGGGGGGGTTGAGAGACAGCCCCCTGAGGTGCCTCACCTCTCTGTGCAAGGCCCGCTCGTCCAGTTTATAAGCTGCTCCAATCCTGCGGCGGACCTTGGGGGCCTTTTCCCCTGGTTTGAGGGGATACTCGGCCGGCAAGACACCCGTCAGCTCCTGCGGTGGAAGCAACGTCAGCCAGGCCCCGCTCCAACTGCCCAGCCCTTGGCCAACCAAGCATAGCCGGTACCCCCTTTGCCTGTGCCCATCCTTCCCCAGAGGCCCCTGCCCACTCCCCACCCCATCCCGTCCCCCAGGCCTGTCTCACTGGCCTCTTCAGGGCACCCTCCGCATTCCCTCCTCTTTCCCTTCTACCTTCTGCTCACCCCCGCCAGAGATCTACTCTGGCCCTGGTTACATTCCCACAGGCACCTCTGTCAACTCCCTCTGTAGCCCCTCTGTCTTTCCCTCCCGTGTCTGGGGGCCCCACCTTGGCTACTTCCTTCCCTCAGGGCCGCTCAGGGCCCAGGTGAGGGACTCCAGGCACCACACCCCCATCTGATTTCCAGAACTCTCCCACAAATGGGGTTCCCTTCCCTCAGCCCAAACATCCCCAATGTGGCTCTAGGGCTCCTCAGGTTAACCCCAAGTTATTGGGAGGAACCAGGGGCCGGCCGAGGCTCTCACCGCCTCCCTGAGGCAGAGTCTCTTCAGCTCCTCCAGGTGTGCCTCCAGCCGCTCTTCCAGGGCCCTCTGCTGCTTGCGCACCGCGTGGGTCAGCTCCTTCACCGGGGACACCGGGCTGTCAGGGCCTAGGGGGGGCCACAGGGCACTGGCTCAGGGAAGCCGAGGTGGGTAAGCCCCTCTCAGACACTCGTTAACTATCCCAGGCCCACACGTGTACACACACACACATACACACACACACACACACACACACACACACACACACACACACACACACACACACAGCCTCATGCCTGCCCGCTGATCACAGATCTCAGGTGCTGCGGCCGGTGTCATAACCACAAACGCCTCATCTCCTGGCTGTCCGAGGTGGCAACATGACAGCTCAAAAGGAAGGGCCGCCTCACCAGGCCATCTGCAGGGGGTGGGAGGGCTACCCGGTCAGGGCTCTGTTCTCACCCTTCCCACCCTCCACCCACACAATTCACTGCTGCCTCCTCCTCCTTCTCCTTTCTCTCTCTCCCTCTCTCTTTTTCTCTCTCTCATTCACACACATGCTTCTTTCTTCTCTTCTGTCAGGACTAGACCAGGCCCACAGACTCAGGCCAACCAAAGAGACAGGACCTTTCCATCAGCCAGATAAGATTTTTCTACTTCTTAGTAATCACTAGGGCCAGAGTTGCAGAGACCTGTTCCAGATAGGATCACACCTCCAGGCCAGACCATCCAGGAAAACTGTAGTCCCTCTCGTATTTAGCCCCCAGCAGAGGCCTCTCCCACCCCTCCTGCCCTCCCCCTACTCCAGTCTTCCAGCTTCTCAGCCTGGCCGGCCCTGGGGCCTGGGGCCTAGGGCCTGGGGCCTCAGAGAGGCAGGGCTAGGGGGCCCACGTGGCGGGATTCCCCAAACCACTCACCAGACTGCAGGATGATGCCACTGTCAGTGTCGCTGACCTCATCCTTACTCTCCATGGTGGATTTCTGGGAGGAGGGGGCACAGAGTAGGGAGGGGTGACACCGTTCCCAAGCTGAGCCAGGATGTGTCAGTGGCCTGCAGTTTCCCCAGCTTTTAAGAGAACAACAACAAAAAGATAGATGTGAAACCCCTTAGTTCCAAACAGAGCCTAAGGATCAGATATCTGAGGGCACGGGGAGTGGAAGTGAGGGCCATATTTCTGGAACAGTCTGGCCTGGGGGGTTCTCAGCTCTGGGGGTGCTACCAAGAAGGCTCTGTGGGCCTCACCATCAAAGCCGCTCTCGGGGGTTCTCTGGGCCCACCCTAGCCTCCTGCCTCCTCCTTCTGAGAGGGGCCTCTCAGCCCAAGAGAGTCAACAGCAGTGGTGGCCACAGGGACCACTGAGACTGGGGACAAGGACAAGGACAAGGAAAAGAGCAAGAAAGAGAATGAAAAGGAAAAAGATAAGAAAAAAATGGGTGGGAGGACAAAGCAAGGAGGAAAGGAAAGCAGGAAGGGGAAGATGTCTTCTTGGGGCACAGCCGTCGATCGCCATGGGGCTGTCCTCAGCCCGAGAACCCAGGAGGCATGAGACCCATCCCGCTGCCCCAGTGGGTGACAACACTTCAAAACTGGCTGGGCACTGGGTACCCACCCAAGCCTGTGCTCTCGGGTCCTCAAAGCCCAGGCTGCCCTGCCCTCTGGACCAGGGTATGCATCCAAAGGCAGGTGCCAGAGAGCTGTCCCAAAGTTCTGAAATAATTCCCAAGCCACTATGTCTAGGAGACCCCTCAAGGAGGAGTCAGCTGAGATCCCCTATCCCCCACAGCCAGAGGAGACCTGGCGTGTGTGTGTGTGTGTGTGTGTGTGTGTGTGTGTGTGTGTGTGTGGTGTGTCAGGGTCACGGGGAGGGGGAGGGGCTGTGTGACTAGAGTGGAAGCCGCCCGAGGACAAGAAGTCCACCCACTCCTCTATCTCCCTGGAGCACTTGGGTGGCACAGGTACAGTCTCAGCATGTGTCGGCCCAGCTAGGGGTACCAGTCTCCAAAACAACACCTGCTCCTCACCGAGCCCACATCCCTGGGTCAGGGTCTCAGCTGGCCGCGGCCTGGTAGCTGTTGGCTGGAGCAGGGGTAGGGAGGGGTGGGAGGAGCCCAGGCAGGCGGTCTGGAAGGAGAGCCCAGCCACCTCCTCACTGAGTCAGCCCATTGAGCAACAGTCCAAAAGTCCTCCTGAGTTTCTGTCTGGAGCTTATCCTGCCTCCCCACGGCACAGGGCCACGGGGTGGAGGAGGTGGGCTCCACCCCTCTGCCACCAGCCAACAGCAGAGGCAAGTCAGCCCTGGGAAAGCCAAGCACAACGCAAGGCCAGGAGAGGGAGAAGGGACTTCGCACAGCCAGGTCCCCAGTAGGACCTCTGCCTCTCGAGACTGGAAGAGCAGGACCGATGGAGCGCTTTTATAGACCTCCATAAATGGCACAGGCCAGCGAAGTACCGTGGGCAATAGCAATAAAAAGGTAGCCTTGATAACAATATGTACCTGCACTGTGAAATTGCATTTTTCCCAGAAAGTCCAGAGAATGGATGATAGGATGAAAGAAAGAAAGAAAGAAAGAAAGAAAGAAAGAAAGAAAGAAAGAAAGAAAGAAAGAAAGAAAGAGAAAAAAGAAATGTTTACGTAGGGCCTTTGTAAACATGCCAAAGAGAGAGACCAGCCCGTGTTCTAGAAACCCAGAACAGGGTAATTAGTGTGAGAGTTACCTCTGCATGGCCCATCCCTCCCAAACCGTCATGCCCCCTGGAGATGAGAGCAGGACAGAGGGGCAGGCGGCTCACCCACCTCCCACCCGCCGCGGGCAGCCTCTGACCTTCCCCAGAAGCCAGGGCCCGGGCCCAGCCAGAACTAGGAAGCAAGGGTGTCTCAGCTAGCACGGTGAGCGTTCTGCTTTGCACAAAGGAGGAGGTAATGTGGGAGAGAAGCCATGAATTAGTCACACTTGCTAATTAATTATTAACCACGAAGGAGTTGCCTTGGCAAGTTACGATAACTCAGCCCCTGCTTTCCTCCTTGACTGGTGCGGTGTGTAGGGTTATGCGGACAGAGGGGTGGGTATGAGAGGAGAGCCCCCTTGGCACACCCCCTCTCCTCCAGTGTTCACCGCCAGGGTCAAGGGCACACGCTGCCAGGGTCTGATGCTGGGCACACTCTGGGCTAACTCACGGCTCCAAGCGAAGCAAAGAGCACAGGACCCAAAGTTGAGAGCTTCAAGTTGTAGTTCGGCTACTGCCTGTGTTGTCCTGAGAAAGTTACCTGGCCCGGCCAGCCTCCTTTCCTCGTGGACACAAAGACTAGACAGTGTCCAGGGAAGTCCCTTTCCAGCTCTCCGCTCAGAATCTGGACCTCTTGGACAATGCCGGGCTGAGCAGGAACCCCAAACAGCCATGTAGCAGTCGCCCTCATGTGCCCTGCCAAGGCAGCCCTCCTGGCCGTGGGGACCCTGCCCCGGGAGCCCAAGGGATAAGCTCAGCTCCCGCCTCCACCAGCCCCACAGGAGTCCCTTGAGCCTTAGATATTTAAGGCATTGCTTTCAGATAAAGATAGTTCAGGGAACATGCCCAACCCCTTCCCAACGCCGGAATCTCTCCCTGCCCTCCAGACCCTCAGCTCTAAGCGGCAAGCCCCAGGGCTGGGTCCTAAGAAGCAGTCCACCTGACTGAACAATGTCCCCAGGAAAAGGTAGACAGGAAAGAAGAGGCATAGAGGAAGGAAGGGAAACACCAGTGCAGCGTCCCTCAGGCTGAGCCACTGAGGACCCTCCTCGATCACCCGTGTGCCCCCAAAACCAGGTCCTGGGCCTCTCGCTTCTTCCTGTGGAGACGGAGGCCTGGGGACTACAGCAAAACTGTAGGAAACCTACAGCAAGGGGCTCCTCATCTGGGCCCACCAGCACCCCCCTATCATCCCACGCCCCAGACACAAGGCGGAGGAGGTGGTGACGAGGGCTACTACAGGGGCTCCCCTCACTCCCGGGCCGGCCTGCCCCCCAGCCCCAAAGACCTGTTCCACCCTGCCCTGCTCTCACCTGCTTCTGGGGTTTAGTCCAGGATTCCGGGAAACACCCCCATTCCCAGGTCAGGGGGCCGAGGGGTGTCGCATGTCGCCTCAGGGTGTCCCAGGCCACAGGCCAGTCTCCCTTGTGCTCTCCTCTGACCTGGCTCCAGCTCTCTACTTGCCGCTGCTGATGGCCGCCCCTCCCTCTGGTCCCGCCTGCTGGCCTGCCTGCCTTTCCTTGTAGGCTGCCTTTCCTCCTAGGCTGCCTGCCGGGCCAGGGGAACCAGGTTACTTGTTACGACTTGAGTCAGAGGGGAGGAGCAGGTGAGCAAGTCCTTCCCTGAACTAATCCTGCCGTGGCTGTTGCCAGCAGGCAGCTCCTGGGCCTCTACGCTTCCGGGGGTGGGGTGAGGAGGGAGAGAGGGGCTCCCCGTGGAGGAACCCCAGAAGAAGGCAACGGGGGGGTCATGTCTTCATGGCCTCAGGGGACTCCAATGCAAAAGTGGTGAATGGTTAGGGTGCACAATTGCTCTCCTAACCCTTAGTCTCCCTAGCAAGGAGAGAGATCAAGGCATTTGAGACCCCCAGGAGCAGGGTGAAAGGCCACCGTCCATGGGGAATACCAACAAGAGGTTGACAGAATGACAAGAATAGGTCATGACTCTTTCCATACACAGTCATGGAAAGCAAGGCCTGGGTTTTGTCTCTCCCAAATCAGGTTTAAGGAAATTTCAGGAAGGCAGTAACTATGGAAGTCCGTATGGGAAGGCTCTAGGGTCCCCAAGAAAGCAAGAGTGGTCTCTCTTTTCATCCTAGTCATTTCCTCCCAGGATCATCAAGGCCTATTTATTTCTTACATCCATCCCTCAACAGGGTCCACGGCGCACTAAGCTGAACCCCAGTCCTAGCCCCTACGCCACAGGAGAGCCACTGGACCCCAGGCTCTAAATCCACTCCCCAAACATGAGGGACCAGGGACCAAAACGGAACTTGTTTTCTACAGGAAACAAGCCTCCAGGTCTCCCACCCCACTGATCCTCAGACAAACCCAAAACTGTTTAGAATTCAGCCCACTTCATTGGGGGAAGCAAGGGCTAAGGCTACCTGTGGCTCCACGTGGAAAACACACAGACGTGATACAGATTAAGGACTACACCCCTCAAGGCTTACATCGCACCACCTCCCTTTCTCCCACTCTGATGTTCCCACTGTGTCCCTTCACGCTGGGGTATCAGCACCTCAGCATCTCTCTGGATCGCTCCCCTCTCCCAGCCCCATCTCCAAACGCCCTCCCCTTCCCCATGGCAGGGCAGGTAGAAGTGTGCTCCACCAAGTGTCCCCTGTAGAGCAGAGCTGTGTCACCGGACAGAGTTCCTGTCTGCCTCCTTCCCTTCACCTGCATCCCCCACAGTCCCTACACACATACCCAGCTCACCTTCACATCCTATACACACCCTCTTTCCAAACAATGCTAGCCCCAGAGTCCTCCAGGCTGACCACTTCCTCCTCTCCCCAGGCTGAGGCTACGGGGGCCCCCCCAACCGGGGGCAGACCCCTCCCGTGATGTGGAGCCAGCTTTGGGTGTCCCAAAGAGCCTGCAGCCCTCCCCTCCCCCTACTGGCTTGTCACATTCTTCCAAAGAAGACAAACAGAGAGATTGACTCTGAGTGGAACTAGTCCCCTTCTTCCACCTTGCCCATCCCCCAGCTCCAGGTGGGGGGTGTTGGAAATCTCTGGAACCAGCCCATGGCATGTTTTTAATGCACAAAAAAGAAATGAAGAGAATCACCAGGAGAACGAATTATATTAAAATACAGTTCTAAAAACAAACACATAGTAATATATAATGCTTCTTTATTAATGTTAAACGGGATGTGGCAGTGGATAGTTTCATAGAAGCGATGAATGTAAACGATGCTTCGAGACAGAACAACTGCGATGTGACCATAAACTATCTGTGAATTCTATCAACGGCAAAGCCACAGCTACTGCCAATGGTTTCTTGCCTTCGTGATTGAAGGCAATGTTAAATTTTTGTTAAAGGTTGGTGTGAAATAAAGGTATTTCTTCCCATCTAAGTTCACAAACCCTCTGAATTCTATCCACAGATGCTTTGGTGCCCGGGACCCAGTGAAGAACCCCACTATCAGGTAATCCCCCCTCTCTGAGTTCAGAGGAGAGAAATGCAGATAATCAACTCATCGCATTGATCCTCTGGAATTTTTGTAAACCCCCTGCTCCCTCAAACTCACATGCAGCATTTCCTGACCCAGCAGAACGTGAGGTCTGGAATGCAACTAGCCAACCAATTCTCCCAAGAACCCTAGATCCAATGGGTTGGATCTCACTGTCTGCCAGGCCACTCAACGCAAAATACCAAAAGGGAGGTGGGTAGTACCCCCAGGAGCTGGCTGGGGTTCAGTGCCCTGCTGCCCGCTGGCCTAAGGGATCAGGGTTCTCAGATCAGTGCCCTGCTCCAACCCCCAGAGCATCAACACCCAGAGCACAAGTTGGTGAGGACGTGGAGTGTCCTTGAATAAAGTCAGAGTACTTGGAATCTGATTGTTCAAAGGAGAAAAACTGCATCTCTTTAGGATTTTCACTTCCCAAGGAGAAGTGCTGCATCAGGAAACTTCCACACTCTGTGGCCATCCACTCCCACAGTTTCAAAAAGTCCCTTTGAGTTTCTTCTGATACACGAGATTGGAAGTTCTTGAAAGCAAGAGCCTCATCTACCATCTTCGCATTGCCTCCAGCACCCAGCAAAGAACAGTCTCAGGCACTCCTAAGATCCCACTTAATGAATTCACAGATCAATGGTCAGCCGCCGGAGCCAGCAGTGCAGAAAGAAGGGGAATAGCCCGGGACCCTCAAGGCGAAGGAGGGTGTAAGAGGGTCCCTTAACTGGTTTCTTTCTCCACTCTTCTCCGTCCCCACTGGGAAAGGTGTTCGCCTCCAGCAGGCGATGGTGGAGTGGGTTCTAGCCAGGAATGCGCCCTGAAATCAGACCTCTCGGCTTTCCTTAAAAAGCCCCTTTGTCCGGTCCACCCTGCTCCCCTCCCCCACCACGCCCCTCCGCATCCAGGCGGCCCGAGACTTTGCTCCTTTTGTTTGGCTGCTTTCTGGCTTCCCGGAACCTGGCCAGGGGATCCACAGGCGTGGGGAAGGTCGAAGGAGAAGGGTTGAGGAGTCGGAAATGTGCACTTTGGGTAGGAACTTGAAATTCCCACCCCCTTTGTAAATCACTCCGTTCCTGGTAGGGCCAGCTCCGCTCAGGCCACGGACCACGGGTTCAGGAGCTGGAGCCCCCCAGTTCACCCGCGCTGCGTCCCCCTAAGTTTTCCCCCTTAC